TAAAAAGAACTCAAAAGACTCGAAAGGACTCGGAAGACTCGAAAGGACTCAGAAGACTCAAAGGACTCAGACTCATGTGAATAGAGAGTCCTGTCTCGAAATTAAGACTAAAAGACTCGAGTTTCTTACACCTCTAGTGTAGCTTTGCAGGCTTGGCTATGTCCGGTGTTAGCCGGACGGGTGGCAGCCCTACCGCACTAGAGTTACACCTGAGTTTGTGCCGTTCCTGCCTAGGTTTAATTGGTGTCGCCAAGTTGTTTGATGACATTACCGCGTGATGTATAAATTGTACGAGTTCGCGGATCCCACTTGTGACTGTGGATTTGATATTAATGAGATAAATACGAGTTGCACGTAGTGTGGGAAAGATAATTTCTGCAGCTTACCCGTTTCGTTGACTTTGAGTCTAAGAGTTATCAAATCTGTACCAACTTAGGTTGTTTGAATTGATTTAATGTTGGGTAAAAATGACCAAACGCTTTTATAGGATCTACTGTATAATTTATGTGTATGGTTGTAAAAATGTTGCCAATATTATAATGATTCAATTAAAGAAAACTGTTTTGCATGGCTGAATAGTCAAACTTGAGGACAAATTACCTATGTAGGTAATATATTTAATATCTGTAATTTTGGTCATATATTACCTATTAGCAAATGTATAATTCTATTCCATTCTATTTATACCAGAAAAAATAAACAGTTTTCTCCGGCTTTCAGCACAACGCAAACATAGTATAGTACAGAAAAAAGTAAATATTTAACAAAGGTATAGAAAAGCTAAGTGCTCTGTTAAAACAAAGAGCACATGCGTGATATGGCTTATTGCTTTTTCTTTTTCTGTTGGCGAAAATCTTATTAAATGACTATACAAAATGGATTCCGAAATAACTCTAGTAATTTATAGTCTATGTAGAATATTGACGCTACCAAAGTTTTTGATCTGTTAACAGATCATGTGACATCATACTTTTAATTAACAAAAATAATATAAAATATCTTAACTGATATTTTCTTAGAATAAATTAACTAATTTATAAATATTCGTTTTTATGATAAAACATATCATACCTTGAAATTAACTGGTCCTGTTTACCTGAAAAGAAAAAATATCATGAATATTGTTCTAATTACTTGTTCTACGGTTGTTCTGATAAAAAACTATGTCCTATCCATCTTGTGCCTCTTAACAATTCAGTCGCAACCCATCTCCGTCCAGCCTTTATTCTTTTCTTATCGGTTTCGGCATGGTTCAGGCGCTATGCAAATACGCCATATTTCGGGGCGTGGGAACGCGGGCTCTGTATAAATCGCGCGATACGGCCCTGTCTAAATTTCCTTAAGTACGGGCACCGGCGTTATGTCCCCTGGACATGCGAGAACGTGTTTAATTGCAACTCTTGTTTATGGAACGAAAGGCTGTCGACATTACTATTAATGGGCGGTAATTACTCGTTTTCTCACCACGCGGTTTTATGCTTTATTCTCAACGAAATTGCTAATTTTCAAAAGGTACTAAAATTCATAGTTGCGTTTTTAATCTTAACAATTTTTCATGTTAATTAGTTTCACGAATACAATAACGCTTCTGTGGGAGGCTCGTTTTAATTACAGCACCCTATTAATATCGTATATCGTATTTCATTCATTCAACAAACATGAATCAGTCGTCGAAGACGGAGCGTGGGCAGGCCTCCCACTAAGTGGACCGACGATCTGGTGAAGGTTGCGGGAGGTGCCTGGATGCGAGCGGCGCAGGGCCGGTCTTTGTGGAAATCCCCAAGCATTAGGCCTTAGGCCTTTGTCCAGCAGTGGACGTCCTTCGGCTGAAACCACAGAATAATAAAAAGTACTACGCTGAAACGAACGAACGAATCAGTCGTGTACACCGTGCACGTGATTTCATAAATTGAAACCGACAAGTTTCGTTAAAACTAATTGAATACTTCGATACCAATATTTTAGTGGGATCCAATTTAAAATAAACCATTTCCCGAGTAAGCCGACGGTCACACGTATAAATTCGGCAAACATAAACACGTCATCAATGAATAACGGCGAGGAGTTTTTTCATCATGGCGTCGTGTTCTGACAGATATCGAATTTGCAATAAAATTTGTATTGGTGTAATGGAACACGGAACCTCCATCGGGGCAAAGAGATTACGTTTACTTTGCCCCGTCATTCTTTGTTAGAACCCATTAGGTAAGCCACGTTTGCCGATTAAATTTGAGGATTATTATGTTTGCCCCGCCAAACAGTTCTATTTATCAAACAATATTGTTCCGACGTAAGGTTTTATTACACTCGTAGGAGCTCTTTCAAGTTATTTAATCATTTTCGTATTGCCTTGTACGGCTTATTAATATTTCGGTGGAATTGTGTAGACATAAGACATCTTTTTGTTCGTATGTCAGCAACGTTTCTCTGGTTTCACTGAATGAGTATTATGGGGGAAGTTTTTGATCAAATCCTTATTATAGCAGCATATGAAAATCAATCAGGAGTCGGTATGGTCGTAACCAGGGTTGACAAGTTAACTGTTTCATGTACATAAACCTGATATTAATTGAAAAATAAATAGCTTTTTAAGTATTAATGAAGCAGCTAGCTAGATTCTACCTAAAGTTCTTCTTCTTCTTTCTAATTGCACAAGGGCTTGAAGCTACAATAAACTGTCGAGTAGCAATGTAAAAATCCCCCATAAATATGCAAGTAAAAATATAAAATTGTTGCTGTATACTATGTACTTATGAGACAGTTAATTAAACTCCCTTTGGGCTAGACGTCTAGCTCTCTTTTTCAATATTCGTCGACATATTCATGATTTAGAATTTTAGAACAATCAAAGGGATTGAAAATAAAAATTCAGACTTGAATTTACACATAGGGCTGAGTGGCGTGGGCTCCGGAGTAACGGAGTGGCCCCGGGCGCCCGACCCGCTTTGATCCCGGCCGTCTCGTGTGACTGGGTCACCCTACACGTCAAAGGGAGAAACACTCTTCATTATTACTAACTGCTTGTTGCGCTTTCGATACGACTCCATTGTTCTTGTGAGTCAAACGAGTCATCTTTGAACTAGTCAAGTTTTCAGACATGTTTTAACCTCTTTGAGTCTTTGATAGAGATTCGTACTACATTTATTTCAATGGCAATTTTTTTGTCAATATGAACGACCTGTAATTTCCGCGAGTTTATTAAGAATTTCTAATATTAGTTTCTTCTAGACTCTACCCTTTAATTATCTAGTTATTTAGTTGGTTGGGTGTCTCAAATTGTCAGTTGTAGCACTTACGAGTATTTACAATTACAAGTAGTTTTTATTCAATAAAACCGTTCTAGTGGTGCGCAAACAAGATAACACTGAGGCGCATCGGTTTCTGCTAATTTTTTACTTTAATGCAGCATACTTAAAACACCTTCAGCTCAGTAGATATTCACTCACTCAAAGAAAACCACTTACCGCAAATGCAGTAAATGATCTCAAAAACATTTTAATCTAGTCAAGTTGAAAGAACACATCGCACTCAAAAGAATCCAATTTCTAGTTAAAGGATCGGAGTGTTGGCTCGATACCAAGAAGACATTATCTAGTCGGCAACATATAGGCCTTAGCCAAATACGCTTTTATTCGCAGTTTTAGGATTTAGGACGCTATTTCAGCTACTTTTCTTGTATTCTTTTATCCGGATTACAATTTTTTACCTTTATTACAGAATTTAAGAGCCACACGCGTAGAGAATTTCAGATGTATTCTATGGCTAAATGAAAGTAAGGTTGGTATTTTTTCCATTTCAGTTGAATCAGAACTGTTAAAATTGCTAAAAAAAACTTAGGCTGAGTTGTACCATCTTAATTTAACTTTTACAAACGTCAAAAATCTCTCAAATTCCATACAAAAAACCCCGGTTATTGTTATAGTTACGGTCAAAGTGAGATGGTGCAACCCAGCCTTAGTTAATTGAATGTAAACATTGATAAAGGGCCGTGATGTAAAATATTTCCGGTTTTCTGTCACAAATTATTTTTGAAATAAGCAGATTTTTTCCTCGACCCAGATTTTTTCCTATTACACTTCTGACACCACCACCACCTTCTCATTGTAAAAATTAGTTTTATTCACCAAAAAAATATTTCTTGACTAACCAGCAAAGCCACTGGTAAACCCAAGTGATGCATTAGTATTCCGTTCAGCCGGCGCTAGAACTCAACAAATACTGATTGTTTCTCGAGGGAACTTACGAGGAAGAAGGCGCTACTCCGGAATCGGACCTATATACAATACAGAGCAGTTGAGGTGCTTAACGTCTTACTGAGATATAGACCGAGACTGCTGCAATTTTATTGTTTGAAAAACGACTTCAGGCTTGTGGACTTCATTCTGGTAGCTTAAAAGAGGTTGCACGATACATCGTAGTTCCCATTTTATAATATTAATTCGAGGCAAATATTTATCTTCTGCCAAAAAACAATTCTTCCACTCGTGCCTGAACAAATTGAACAGGTTGGCCATGACAAGTTTGTCAAACGTTGGTCATGACAAGATGGTCACTCAAACATTGGCCATTGTAAGGCTGAGTTGCACCACCTAGCTTTGACCGTAACTATAACGATAACCGGTGTTTTTATATGGAGTTTGACAGATTTTTGACGTTTGTCAAAGTTAATATAAGATGGTACAATCCAGCCTAAGTGATTCAAAAGTTGGCCTAGCAGTGACAGTCACTATCAGAAGAACTTCTGCCATTATGACTGTTGGCGACAGATCTGGTAACACCGGTGCTAGGCCGTGGTCTATGGACTGCAGCCTAGCAACGGTGTTAGCCATCTTGTTTTTGGATACTATTCTGTTGCTTTGGCTTTTGTGCTTTTTATGTGATCTGAATACAGTTTCGTATTTTAAGCTGAGCATTTTCCATTTATGTAGCTAACATTCTGTTTCGAGCCGGATCTGTTTTAAAAACCAGTTTTTCAAAATTCTAAATTCTTTTGCTACAAAATGCTTACAAGATCACAGGCCCGTGAGGCCAAAAGCCAGGCTCGCTCCTCGTCCTCTGCGTCATCGGCCACAACAGTCGCCCGCCTCAAGGCCGCGGAAGCGGCTCGCAAACAACATCTTGCTGAAATTGCGAAGCGGGAGGCCGCAGCCGCAGCCGCTACCGCTGCAGCCGCGGCCGCTACTGCTGCAGCTGTCGCGGCGGCTGAGCGAGAGGCCGCAGACGCCACTTTTGAAGCGACTGTCGCGGCTATTGAGGCCGAGGAAGTAGTCAGTGCCAGGAGCAGAGCCACAGCCGACTGGGTTGAGAGAACTTTTACAGGAGCAGCTTCAGTCGCAGCTAGCGAGCCGCCCGAAGAGGGTTTGCCGTGTGGACACGGTGAGGTTGATGTTTCCGTGCATCCTGCACCGGTTGCGGAGCAGATGCACGACGCCTCACGACGTTCACCGGAGATCACTCGCCAGTTGCATAAAGAGGCCCTGCGCTTTGATTCGTGTCCCCAGGAAGGCAATAACGGTAACGTCAGCAAGGCCCCGGTAAGTGATATCACGAAACTGGCAGAAGCTTTGGTGTTATTGGCTAAACCGAACGTAAAGGCTTGTAACACATACCAAACATCACTCCTTAAGTTAGACGATAGCGCTGAAATCAGTACTTTGGACTTGCACTGACTATCCTTCTCGTTTGACTTCTCATTCTTGTTTTTCTTAAACTTCTGCGGACAATTCTTCATGACATGCCCTGGTTTCTTGCACTTGAAACATTTCATTGTTCTTTTAGCAACCAAAGCGCTCACAGTGTCCTTGTCATCGCGACGTTGGTACTCTTGTAGCAGTTTTGCCTTAACAATTTCACTCGATAAAGTTGTGTTATTGTTCTCCAGAGCCATTATTAGTGGATCATACTCTTGTGGGAGACCACTCAATATTATCACAGCTACAAAGTCGTCGTCCAACGGGGAGCCTATGTCACAGAGCTGTTGAGCTAACTCGGTGACGGTGGATAAGTATGTGTCCATGTCACCCTCAAGTTTTGTAGCAAAAAGACTTCGAAGGAGACTCAAACGTCTGCTCAGCCCTCTGTCTTCATACGCATTCTTCAGATTGTTCCACGCAGCCTTGGCTCCCGCTGCATTACGTACATGGGGAAACGCCGAAGAATGAACAGACAAACATATTTTTGCCAGCGCCTTCATGTCGCGTTTTGCATCAACTTTTGTGGTGTCAGTTGGCTCGATGCACTCCCATAAATCTTCATGCACCAGTATCATCTTCATTGCAAATTTCCAATTATGATAGTCTTGAACTCCACGCAGTTTCTCAATAGGAAAATTCGCCTTGTCGTTGCCGGTAGCCATCGCGAGGTTATGTGCATATGCACAATATTTACCAAAGCGCGAATTGTTCTGCAAATTACAAAATTATCTACTCGCGACAGGGACAGACGCCCTGGGCCCATAACCTGATGGGTTAGGGTCAAAAAGAAAGAAGATTGCAGAGAAAACAGTAGATATTTATTGTAAGTACGACAGAGATGATACCGCATAGGCACACAGCCATTGAGAGAGAGAAAAAAAATATAAAGTCACAATGACATGCAGTGTCAGATTTGACTTTGACGTTACTGGATAATAGACTACTCAATGTTACGTTTCGTTTTACATTCCAACAAATTATGTACCTATTTATGTCAATAAATAAATAAATAAATCTTTGGACAATTTCACACAGCGCCAGCTAGCCCCAAAGTAAATTTGTAAACAATTTGTAGGTAATAATATTAATCATTCAAATTAATTTAGAAAGATTGAATTATAGATGACCCACGCTGAACTGTCCCGCCAAACTCAATGACAGGGGGGCGCTACCATCGTTCAACTATATGGTTTCCAACATGGCAAAAATCTGAACCAGCGATCCGGTATTGGACGGTGGCGCCCCACTGTCAATGTCATCGATAGGACAGTCCAGTATTTTGGAACTATATGTGTTTTATTCTGCCTACTCATTTAATGATTTTGACTTTTTTTCTTTTCTGGGGACCCTATCTAGGATAACGATATTGCACACTTTTCTAGGTTAAAAAATTAACAGATCAATTTTACAATTGGAAAAATTTAATTGATCAATATGAAAAGGATATTTACGATGTGTGTTTTATGGATTACTGATGTTTGGCCATCGCAAATTTTCATTTGGCAAATTCTCATTCGGCAAAACCACTTATTGCAAACTTTTAATCCGCAAATGTCGTTTTTGGCATATAAATATCGGGGTTCCGAAATTATTAATAGAACACTATTGATATTAAATCGAATAAATAAAGTTAATCTAGTTTAATCATCATTATTTGTTAGGCCGTTACTATTATGGTGCGTCCAGACTGGGCGAACGGGCTCGCGCGGCAGCGTCTTTCCATTCTATACATAGCCAGAACGCAAGGGTGTGAAACTAATCGAGTATAGTTTTGATATGACTTTTTTTACTAAGCTCCTCCAAACTATACACGACCACGCTGCGTACTGCTCGCGTATACTTTGTAGTGACTTAGGTCAATTATCTTCCTCCAAAATATACATCGTCAGTACGCATACGGACTAATCATGTATGTATTGTAATAAGTTCGCGATTACAATACAACGCGAGTAGTTGCATGCTCGTCATTTTGACTTATTTACCTCTCTTTATAATACATATTAATTCATAACTGAGTTTTTTGGTGTTTGTACTCTGCCATAGAAAATATTTTTGTTTTGGGGCTGATATTTTTATCAATTCTCCAATAACTCTTAAATTAAGAATTATGTATGTCAAAATGATTTTGTTCTTGAGATAAAAGCTTATAAATAACAATAAATATCCCTGGACATTTTACACTGCGCTTCTATAGTCCCAAACTAAGTTGTACTATGGGTACTAGATAACGGATATAAACATACTTAAATACTTTTTTTTGTAAATACATACTTATTATACATAGAAGACACTTAGTCCAATACAAAAAAATATGTTCATGCACACAAATTAATGTTTGTACTGTGCGGGAATCGAACCCGCTACCTCCGGAACAGTTATCCGTTTCGAACCACTACACCAAACGGTCGACAATTTTAGTTAATAATGCACGTTCAACTTTCTTCATTCACTCTCTCTCATTTTAAATGAATTTATGATTACACTAATAAATAATTGTCATTTAATTTGAAATCTACCTAATCTATTTAATTTCAGAAACCACTTACATTAGTGTTATAAATCTAGATTTATTATACGTAGATTCAGTAAAATAATAATATTTTATGTAATAATTAATCCCATCAAAAACAATACTTGTCAAAAAAAACAAGTCTCGCAACTCAGTTGTTCTACGGTAAAAAGTTGTGAGATCCATGTAATACCAAGTCCAGGCCAGGAAATCTTTAACGTTTTATATAAATTATTGACTTGGCCATCACACTAAATAATTTAATTTACACGTGTTTTCATGCGATGGCCAAGTCAATATATTTATGTAAAACGTTAAAGATTTCCTGGCCTGGACTTGGTATTACATGGATCTCACAACTTTTTACCGTAGAACAACTGAGTTGCGAGACNTACAGTTCACACTAAAAAGAGAGGTAGGGCCACAGAGAGCGAGATAGATATAAGTAGGTATTTGACTCAAGTTTTGTTCCCAACTTTGCCCTCCATTTTTATCTGTAGCTTCACGGTCTGGACGCACCATAAGAAAGTGGGGTTACACTCTACAAAAAGAAACCCCTTCAGCAACTTCAGTTTGATAAAAAAAAACGAAATAGAACGATGGTATTTGATTGTTCTTTTAAATTAATGAACACACTTTTTATGGAGTGTATTATATTATTCAAATAAAAAACTCATCAATATACCACTTTCATAAATTGTTCCTTCTGTAGTTAATGCCAGCTAAGCTACTTACTTTAATGCGTTTGAACCATTCTCAAAATTAAATGCTTCCTACTACATACTATAGGTAAGTCACAAAGTCTGTATAAAATGTGATATTTGCAGGCGCCTTTTAGTATCTGCTTTACTGAGCGAAGCCTAATTTGGTGGTGGTACTTGACGTCATAATACACTGAAAATTCTCGCACTCATGGTATGACTGATATGCATAGACGTGACCAACCTAAAAAATTTGACAGTATAATGAGAGATCGTGTGTAGCAGCATCACACGACGTGAAGCAAGATCAAATTATATGAAATCCAACTCAACATTGGACCAAGATCAGGCCAAGAGACTATACCCACCTTTTCGACTTTGAGAGACTTAATAGTATCACCATTCTCAAGATGCATTCATTCATTAAGGTCTGCAAATTCATTTCGAAATCAGACATCCCAGCCATGAGTGACAGACGAGCCAAGTTGAAGCTACGCTAAGTCACGCTGCCATAACAACGAACGCCGGGGTAACACAAGTTAAAGTCATTGTAATATTAAGATTAATGACATGATAAAAAAACTGTAAGCGTGTACATAAATAATGGATATAAAATACCTCCGTATCTTTACTCATGACGTGCTGTTACATAGTTAACACAGTCATTGTCATATCGCGGACTTGCGGTACGACGATATGGAGGACTTCGAAGCAATTAAAATAATATGTGTAGCAGAAAAAATAATCAACATCCATCGCGACTTCTGGTACTTGACGACAAGGAACCAAATTTTTTTAGCTTTCCTAATATCACTGGAAGTTGCATTATCTTTTGCAGTTATCACATATATTGCAAAATGTTTCTTCCTGCGTTATGCCTTTAAAGATTCTCTGTGGGTAATTTTTTATTTAATGCAAAACATTCAATGTTTTTCAATAATTTTATATTATGGTCCTTTTTTCGGACACCGGTTTAGAATACTTCTTGATCGTTTATCCCAGGCGCACAATGTATTGAGATGTCATCTGCCATACAAATCATCGCTAATACAAATAAAAACGAAAGTTTATGTTGTTCTGATTACTATTGTTGCTGTAAGGGCTGGTAAAACTGTGCAGACTGTGATCTTTGAATATGAAGATGGATGTATGACATATCTACCATCTATATTGCTTACTGTCAATGAAGTCTTCAATGAAGGACAATATGCACTAGGTATTTTGATGTATTACACTCTGCTCACCATAGTAAGAAGCATGCTACAAGCCGTAAATGAGCTGATCAAGGAGGCGGCCATGGAGGGGTCGCTTGAAGACAATTTAAATAACTTTGCCTGTGTGTATCGTATATTGTTCGAATCTTGTCGAAAGCTAAAAAAGTGTATGGCTCATCAAGTAAGGCAACGCTTTTGTTTTCAGATTATTTAATATTATTTAATAAGTGGTGATCCTTAATAACATGTATTTATTTCACATGTCTTTATTTCAGATATTATTATCACTTTTTATCGGGGTATCATTCTTCATATATTTAATATGGCAAAGTTTGAGTATGCTACTGATACAAAAGGTTAGTGCATTCTTCTTTTTTTGTATTCATAATATTACGTCAGCCATTTTATACGTCGCAATACTTTCAGTCAAAGTTTGCGAAAAGCATATGGCACCATATTATTAAATATGTTGGATCCATCTTGATGATCACCATGGCTGGGCAAGGAGTGGNTGGCACCATATTATTAAATATATTGGATCCATCTTGATGA